GTGTAAAAGTGAAATTTGATGGGTCAGATTTAAAATCCAACGCAGGCCAACCCAAAAAAAAAAAAATCAATATTGAGCAAAGTTTGAATAAAAAATTATCAATCCAATTTAAAATCAAACAATACTCAATTTATGTCTCTACTTTTTAGGATCCAATTCAATTGAAATCAAATTTACGCCATAGTTGTGTAACTTGAGATTCAAACTTCAATTAAATTGGATTTTAACTTGAATTTCTATCCATGTTATCTATCTCAAAAATCAAACCTCAATTGAAGTCGATTTTGATTCAAATTTTACCACTACTCGCATATCATCCAATTTCAAACCATGACTGACATTGAAAATTTCGAATTAAGCTCAGCTTGAGAGTTTTAAAAATTTTGATTTAACTCGAGTTTTCTTCAACTTGCCTTACAATCACTATAATAACTAGGTTGTGGCATAAGTATTGATATTTAAATTAAATAAAATTTTGGTTTTATTATTTTTATGTATTAAAGATGTTTCAGAATTTTGTTAACAAACTTAATAAAGGTGTAGTTTAGTGTAGAAATAATAAGTGCGTTTTGTTTTTTATTTTTGCAGGTTAAGAGGTGATGTGGTATAATTTAAAATTTGCCAAACAATATAAAATAAGTCACTTGACAACACCAATATAGTGACATAAACTAAATTATTTTTAGTGACATAATTAATTTAGTTACTAAAAATATAAAAATTTTAGTGACGACATGCCAATCATCATTAAAAGTATAAAATTTTTAATAACGGCACAAATGTTATCACTAAAACTATAAAAGTTCTAGTGATGACATCAAAGTCACCACTAAAGTCATTAACGCTTTAGTGACGACATGAAAGTTATCACCAAAACTTTGAAACTTTCAGAGACAACTAATCTCATTGTTAAAAGTAATTGTTTATCATTTTGAGTGACAATAATAAAATTCATCACTATTTATCCAATTTCTTACACTTCTAGTGATGAAGTTACAACAACAAATAATTATTCATCACTAAAAGTTAATTTTTTATGACAAATAGTGTTTTTGTCACTCATCCTAGACCATTAGTGACAACTTCATATGTCATCACTAAAAAGGTATCATTAATGACGAAAATAACTTGGTCACTAAAAAATTTGTCACTAAAGTCCATAATTGTTGCAGTGTTTATATATGATACAGGTTATGAGACAGGTTCTACCATCATGCTTAATGACTAAGGTGATGGGTGGTGGTGTTGCACTTGTGGAATTATTTAATGTTTAATTAGTCCAGATTATAATAATTATAAACATGTATATTAAAAATCTAATCGCATCTCATCCGTGGGAGACGGAGAAGAGATGTGACATTATTACTTTATATATGTTGTAGATCAAGCACTTTCTTTAATTAAAAAAAAAAGATTTGAACAATTTAAAACATATAAAAATAGTTTTGGATTTTTATTTAGTTGTGAAAAATTAAAATCTTTAAATGAAGATAATTTGTAAAAACATTTTCTTAAATTTGAAACTTTTCTAAAACATGATGTATTTACGGATATAAATGGCTTAGATATACTTTTAGAATTAAAAGTTTTAAAAGAAGTTTTAAAAATTGAGATCAACACTCCAAATGAAATACTAAAGTACATAAAAAGACTAATTCTTTTCTAAATAGAATTTTATTAGTTATACTGGTAACTACAGTTGCTTTAGTAGAACGAAGCTTTTCAAAACTTAAACTAATAAAATCAAAAGATTAAATGAATTAGCTATATTATCTATTGAGAAAGATTTATTGTTAAAACTTGAATATAAAAACTTGATCAATATTTTTGTATCTCAATAAACAAGATAAAATTTATTTTAAATAAATAAAAGTAATTAAATTATAATAATTAAAAATAATATATATATTAATCCATAAAATATTAATAGGGCCCATATAAAAATTTTTGCATAAGACCCTTATTTATGTTGGGCTGCTTATGACTCTTGAGATTAATTATAAAATATTTTTCTCTTAGAAATATTTTAATTCCGATATAAATGAGTTTTCTTTCGCCATCACCCGGGAGATTAATCGAACTACACAACACCTGATGAGACATTCTCTAACGGCATGTGTCGGAATAATTTTGAACTACTACTCCGACTACTGTATAATGTCTACGTGGAGGACTGGACTTTCTTGCCCTTCGTGTTTTTTAACCACACGAAGTTAATTTGGCAAGGACAACAGAGTTCACCTAACGTTCCAACTTCATATGTTCGTGATCGCCTGCCTCCAAATCATTCACTCTCACCTCGTTGCCTTAAATCTGAAACTGGGTTGAAGGTATTTGCGTTATGATCCTCTTGCATTTCTCTCGCTTGACAGGTACTTCATCACTCAGTCACTGTGTGACTGTGTGTTTGTGTGGGTGGGTATATGGTGATAGTGATTATTTTGTGTTTTATGATTGTTGTTGTAGCTGCTATTTTCTTGTTAATTATTCTGTGAATTTAGAGCTTATTGAAATTTTGTGAACTGGAGACGATGACGAATTTGGGAAGTTTGCTCATGGTGATTGACACAATTACATGATAGTATTATAAAATTTTTGAATGAGAAAAAGTGTTTTTTTTTTTTT